TCTTCTGGAGGAGAAGGGACTGGCTTATGTAGGCTGCAAAAGTTGGTGCATGAAACCTTCAGAGGAGGAGAGAGTCCACCTGCAAGAAACTAGGAAGAGTCCTGCACCTCTCCCTCTTCCTGCAGCCTGCCTTTTCCAAGCCTGGTCTGCAGGGAGTAGCCTCTGAGAACGGGGAGCTGCCACAGGACAAGAGCACAGAGTGGCAAGGGTAGCTGATGAGCAGCCACTGTACCAAGGCACACAAGCCCAGCTCTGACTGCCACCCAGGCTGTTCCCTGCAGTGCCCCTGTTTGCTGCAAGGGAAAGCAAGTGCGTAGTCACTGCCTTTTTGTTTTGGTTTCTTTTAGGTAGCTGAAAATTACTTCTATGTGCCAGATCTAGGCCAGGTCCCCGAGATTGATGTGCCGTCCTACCTGCCAGACCTGCCTGGCATTGCTGCAGATCTCATGTACAGTGCTGATTTGGGCCCCGGCATCGCACCGTCTGCCCCTAGCAGTGCTATTCCAGAGCTGCCCACTTTCAACACTGAGTCGGTGGAGCCTTTGCAACCAGGTATTTCCAATCCCTGCTCCCAGGACCCTGTGAAGGAGGAAGGCAGGGATTGCTAGAAGATGGAGACAAGGCAGAAAGTCCCTCGGTGGAGATTTCAAGATGGATGTTGGAGATACCTTTGGCTTGTGCTTGGGCCTGAGTGAAAGCTGCAACCTGCTCAAGTGCTGGCTGGACTCCAGGCCCCTCACCTCCCTCACCCTCTGCATGGCTAGGGAGGAGGGAGCGTGGTGTGTGGGGACTGGCCTCGTGGCATCCTGGCGGGATGCCCTTGGGCGAGTAGGATGCAGCTGGGGGGGGGCGGAGTAGGAGAATCTCAAACTCTGCCTTGGCCCTGCCTGCTGTTAAGAGATGCTGCACAGGGTGGGAGTGCTCTGCTGCACAGTGCCTGCTGAGGATTCTGATCTGTTGCTGCTGAGGCATGCGGAGCTCTGAGCTGAAGCTGTCAGCGTGCTGTCCTCTGGGACACTTCAGATGCAACTTCTTTCATCTTTTAGACCTTCAAGATTCTGAGCTATTGCCGCCTCCTCCACCACCACCTCCTCCACCACCTCCTGTTATGCCAACTATGGTGCCTCCTCCGCCACCCCTGCCCCAGCCCACAGCCCCCTCTGAGCCAGCCCAGACAGCGAGCGAGGAGAGCAGCTATGCAGTGCCTGCAGGTAAGGGCCGGGCATCTCCACAGCTTCACCAGCAGAATCTAACTCTGACTCCTTGGCTTCAGCCCGTGTCCTTGGTTGGTTCCCTGTGGCTTCCCAGCCTTCTGGCAGAGGAGGGAAGCTGCGGTGGGAAGGGAAGCAGCTCCTGCCTGCCTGGGAGCTGCAAGCCTTCAGTTCCCCCTTCGCGGGGCTCCTGCTGGCTGGGCTGAGCATAAGTCCGTCTCTGAGAGGTGTCTGGGCCGGGCTCACAGCCCCAGGCAGAAGCTGGCAGGGTATCGGAGCAGCCCTTTCCATGGGGATTTGGCTGGGCCTGTAGCTGGTGCACTGACCCACAGCTGCTGCTTGTCATTCCTGTCCCTGCAGCTTCAGTCCAGGGAGCCCCGAAGGAGGTGGTGAACCCCTCCACTGGGCGTGCCAGTCTCCTGGAGTCCATCCGCCAGGCCGGTGGCATTGGGAAGGCCAACCTCCGCAGTGTCAAGGAGAGGAAGCTGGAGAAGAAGAAGCAGAAGGAACAAGAACAAGGTGCTGAGGCTCTTTGGCAGAACTGATCTTCCTTGCTTTCTGCCCCAGGCTGGGGAGGTGTAGGTCCGAGGGGAGAGGGGCAGGCTAGGATCACAGTGAACATACAGAGCGGAAAGGTGTTGTCTCTCCTCGCAGGCTGGTGTAGGTCTCAGGTGCTTCCCATTCAGCCAAAGCTCTGTGAACTTGCTAAACCCCGTCTGCCAGAAGGCCATTCGTGTTCGTGATGGAGACCTGCTCTGTCTCAGGGCATGCGTAGAAGTTTCTGCATGGGGGCAGACACACAAAGGAAACCCTGGGGCCAAGAGGGGCAGGGCTAAGCTGGTTTGAGCACATTGATTTAGGTAGCTGGGGAGGGTATTGATGGAGCTAGTGTGGCAGAATGAGACTGCAAATGCCTTGACCCTCAAGGAATTCCACTCTTGGATTTCCCCAGAAGATGCCATTACCCTGCAGTGCCTGGTGTTTTTTTGACCTGAAACTGGACTCTAGTGGGAGAGATTAGGGGTGTGATACAAGAGTAGAGGTTTGGGTTTTTTTTTTTTCTCTTCAATCTGAAGGCAGTATTGCAAGAGAATGCTTTTGCTGTAGTGCTAGGTTTGGACTGATGCTTCTTCTTGTCTGACTTGTTTTGCTCTGTTTCAGTGAGAGCTACAGGGCAAGGTGGAGATTTGATGTCAGACCTCTTCAACAAACTGGTGCTGAGGCGCAAAGGTACTGTCCTGCAGGGTGGGCTGCTCCTTTCCCCTAGGAAAGAGGGAGAGCCCTTTCTGGCACCTCAGTTGTGTCAGCCACAGCCCTAGAAACAGGAACAGAGACACTTTCCCTGGCGAGTGTGCCACAGCGTGGCTGGGGGTGTCTTAACAGAGGGTGAGCGAGGGAATCTCCACCTCAAGCCCAGCCTCCACCTCAACAGAAGGAGGTTGTGTGTCTAAGGCAGAGGACAGTCTCTCTGAGGAAGGGACAGCAGTGTCTTTTTTTAATTCAGTGCTTGGGCAACTGGTCCCCTTGCTCGTGGAGGCACACGAGTTGCCCTGAGGCCTTGGCGTGTACCCGGGGCATTTAGGGCCAGCATCACCCCTCAGCGCCTGGCACAGGGCAGAGGAGGACATGGACTTGCTCAGGTGGAGCTTTAGTTAAACAAGCCCTTGCGCAGGGCTGTGGCAGTGTTTAAGCGTGTTGGCCATTCTGGGTGCTGGTGGGAGCCATGGTACGAGGTGTGTTTTTCCCCTCCCCTTTGCTGAGCCTCCATGTTCTCTAGTGCCCAGGTGTCACTCACTGGTGCTTTTACTTCCCTCACAGGTATTTCAGGGAAAGGGCCTGGAGCCTCTGGAAATCCTGATGCTCCAGGAAGTCCTGCTGGTGCCTTTGCTCGTATGTCGGACTCAATACCACCCCTCCCACCGCCACAGCAGCCCGTGGGTGAGGAGGACGAGGATGACTGGGAGTCATAGATGGGGTCAGTTGTGCATCCCAGGACTCTTGAACTAAGCACCTTTGAGAGACACCAGCCTGTGGAAGTATCTCCTGGAGGGTGGGCACTGGCATGGCAGGGGGACCATGTCATTTCTTCTTGAAGAGGAGCAGGAGCAACAGCAGCTAACTGCTGCTGAGGTTATAGTTATCAATGAGAGTTTTTCTTCTGCTGGCTGCTATTCTCCAGCCCAAATACTACATTCCATCTCAAATGCTGCGACTGCTCATGCTGGCACAATAAATCCTGCCTTAGCTGGCAGGCAGTGGGGCAGCCTGTGCTCAGAGGATCAGAACTAGCATTGCTCCTGATTTAACAGGCCCTCAGTCTTTCCTAACGTGACTGGTGATGACTGCAAAAGCATTTCTTGCAGGCAAACAGCCCTTGCCCATTTGTCTCCTTGCTTGTTTGCTTGGGTGTTGCTAGAAGAGAGAATGACTGTGTGTGTCCCTCCATGGAGGTTTAATTCCTGGTGCCTCTGCATGCGATGGTTTCTTTCTCTACCTGGCTTATGGTAATTCTTTGCCTGTTGCTGTCTGAAAAATTTCAATAAAGTTGAAGGAAGCAGGTCCTTGCAGCCTTCACTCCAGCAAAAGTGGGAAGCGTGCTCAATTAAGAGTGTCTTAAGGGAAAGCCCAGCTGTCCACTCTCATCTCAGGCGGGCTAGCCTTACAACCCAGCACCACCAGCCACAGGGCTGGAGGGTACCAGCTGTTACAAGCAGGTGCCCCCCACTCCCACTGCCGCTTTCACTGGGGTTAAGGCAGAGCTTGTGCCAGATGGGGGCTCTGTACCCACTGAAGGGGCAGGAGATTCACCATGGAAGTTCCTGAAAAGCAGCTGTTTCTTTCCCTGTGGGGCTAATTAACATATAGGGAGTGGGTACCAGCTCTGTGTCTAATTATAAGTGCTTTCTTCATTGTGAAGAGCCTTGAGAGGTAGCATCCAGCTGCTGAAACCGGCAAGGAGGCAAAAGAAGCTCCTGGGAAGAGACTTGCTCAGGATGACAAAAAGAGCTGGGGACAGCTGTGGGATTACATAGCTGTCCCTGTTATTATTGCTGCCCTCCAGCACTGACCCATGACCTAGGAAAGAACCCCAGGAAGGTTACCCTAAAAAAAAGGTTTTACCATTTTCCACAGAAAGTTACTCTGAATTCAAAAATGGAGGCAGTAAAAAGAACAGAGCAATCCTGTGCTTAAGCATGATCAAAGGAGAAGTGATGAGCTTTATTCTGGCCACATCTTTATTCTCCTTGAAAGAATGAACTGCTCCTTGAATCTGTTGACTGCTTGAAGCAAGGTAGAAAGAAGGAGATAAGAAATGTTACCTATAGCTGCCCCATGTCTTACCAGTCTGACTGTGTAATTCCAACGTGACACAAACTAGTGGCCTGATGAGTTTACAATTCTTGTGAAAAGCTCTATGTTTTCATTAGTCATCAAGCCCCCTACACTTGGTGGTTGATGGGAAAAGGCATATGTGTTCAGTCAAAATAATTATACTCCCCATATTAAGTGTTTGGCTTGAAAATATTTAATCAATTTAAATAAAACCTTAACAGCTGTAAACAGATAGGAGCCTGCCACTACTACCTTCACCTCTCTCAGACCAGTTTCCCTCCTGGTTATGGTGCTGAAGGCTGTCTCACCATCATAGTGCTCAGATACTGAACAGCAAACATCCACAAAGGAGGCAGAAGGCAGAGATTCACAAACTCCTTAGTACAGAAAAGCAGGAACTTGTGTTGCTTCAGGTGTTGTTCAGAGGTGTAGCTCACGGAGTTGACCTAGAGCCTGTTCTCTGGTCTGCATCACAAAGCATCCGACTTCCCTCGATGGAACTAGGAATGCACAAAACCAGACAGTTTGTCCCTGGCCTTACTCTAAAGTGAAGGTTTGAGAAAAGTACACGAGTACAGTGGGAAACAGTTTTGGTAGCAGTACATAAGATACAAGTTCTGACCTTTCTTAACTCTGCAAACGCTGATCCAAAGGCAGGTTTCACCTGGGTTCTCTCCCTGATCCACTGCGGCAGTTTGTTAAAGATGGCAGGGCGTGCGTACCTGTGGTCCAGGAGCAGGATGCTTGCAAAGTCCTTCTGATGGCGAATGGCTCTGCCTGTACAGAGTGTACAACTGCATTAAAATGGCTCACTCAAGTGTTTGTTCTCAGGCAAGGAAGCTCATGTTCCTGTCATCTGTACTTAGACTGATTGGTAATGCACCCTTTTTCCCACCCTCTTACTTCACTGCAGTCACATTTCGTATCCCCCAGCCTGTCCAAAGAAGGATGAATTACCTATCGACTGGTTTACTGCCTTCATGCACAGGTTTTCAATCAGCACTCTGCTAGGTGCCTGGCCAGCAGCTCTGGGCTGGAAAGGAGAAATAGGTAAGACTGAACACGAGGCAGATGTAAATCAAACTAGGGAGTCTTAATGACAAAGTGAGGCAAATGCTTTTACGCCTGCAAATGCTTTGGGTGGCCAAGCAGACCCCAAGCTGAGAGTAAGGAGGGACAGAAGAAGGGTTGCAGTCAGAAAACCATGTTAAGCATTCACAAAGAGCCAGCCCAAGGCCCCCCTTGAAGGCAGAAAACTTGTCCCCAGCAGCCCAGGAAGAGCATCTCCAGTGGGCAGTGAGAAACAACACGTGAGCCAAGAGGAGAAGTGATCCTGGCAAGCAGCTTCTACCACCCTGCCACCTCCTCTGGGTGAAAGGACCTTGCTCCCCTTGGAACTCAGTGTTCCCAGAGAGCCCCAGTGGTCTTTCCCTCCACTGAGCTTCTTCCCTGTGTTTAGGGCCACCTGCACACGTGCACTGTGGAGAAGGCTGTGCTCTCGGTACCACACAGTCTGGGAAACGAGGGCAAGCTCAAAGAAAAAAAATCTTTGAAGGCAGCCCTGGGACTCGTGTTCTGGGAGGAAAGCTAATACTAAAAAGCAGAAGTGAAAGAGGCAGAGGTGTAAGTGTCTCTGTTACCATTGTTTTATCAAGCCAAGCCATTTTTTCCTGGAGCTCTGGAGATTTAATGTTGGGGTAAGGCATTCCCACCATAATCACACACCTGCAAGGGGCAAGGGAGGACTGCGTTATTCTTAATGTCTCATCCTAGAGCACTTTGCCAATAGCCTGATAAATTAGAGGTCACTGCACCCCTGAAAGACAGCCAGCCCTGAAAACCAAAGGCAGCAATAAAGCACAGCAGTCTGACAAGCACATTCTGAACGGAAAGCTGCAGAGGGATTCAGGGCGCCAGAACAAGGGATTATCTAGCACAGCAAGCCTAACTGCATTACTCATATGAGAAGTACTCTGGGCAAGCAGGTTTTACACCACCCAGCAGACTTGGTCCCGTTGGTTTAAGCATCAGCCCAAGCCATGTGCTCCCCAGGATCTTCTATCTATGCAAGTACTGATGTGTCCATCCTGCTTGGAGTCGCCGCACCACAAGCCCAGTGCTCGCCTTCCAGGGAGCAGCCACCTTACCTTCCCAGGTCATCAGAGAAGTTGATCCCTTCGCTCATTTTGCCTCCAACTACAGAAAGCAGCAGGGCCCCCGTCATCTGTCCTCCTGCCTGGCTGCAGCGCTGCAGGAGAGGGACCAGCAACTTAAATCAGAGTAGGGAAGATTACTGTGCTTCAGAAACACTCCCACACGTGGGCTAGAGCCCTCTTTCCTTGAAAAAAGCTGCAATGCTCTCTTTAGCAGCACTCCCGTACACAGCTGGGATGCCACACTCCCACCAGCCTGCCAGCTCAGCTTACCTTTATGCACTTGGCATATTCCACCAGCACCTGCTCCACCTGGTTGGCTTTCTTCGGCTCCTGAAAGATCTGTCACAGGCACAGTGCGTCAGTTGCAGCAACAGGAAGCAAACAGTTTAAAGAAAGCAAATCATCTTACTCCCATGCAGCACATGGAACAAAGATCAAGGAAAGGCAAATTGCCTGAAAAACCAGCACCTTTCCCCTCTACCCTGGAAAAGCACTGCCTGCTCACTACTTTTACACTGGGCTCTAAAGGAAGCAGCAGCTGCTCCTGCCCCTCCAACACTCCCTTTCAGCTTTAGCCGGCTTGTCTAATTAAAAGTCACCTGAGAGCTGAAAGGCAGGAAAGCAACGTGCACCTCTTCCATCTATGAATAAAGATCCAGCAGGGTGAGGAGACCCTCCAGCTGCGAGATCTTGGAGGACAGTGACAGGACCAATCAATTCGAATCACCAATTAATTCCAAGTAATAGCTCCCCTTGCCCAGTGAATAATTAGTTTTCTCTGCAAAGCATACATAAAGTAATATTTCTTTGTGTTATTCTAGCATGCCTAATTAGTTACTGAAAGCCCCTGATGTTAATTGAGCTGCATTCTGATAGATGCTCCACCTTGGTCTAAATCACAAGTTGTCTTCCTAGTAAACAAGAGGTGCAACATCTGTCTTTTCTGTGACAATAAAGAACCTAAAGGATGTGTTTCCTCTTGGTTTGCAATTAGTACTATCAAATTTTGCCAGCCAGAATCAGCCTTTCAGTAGAAAAATAACTGGCAATTATAAATATAAGCCAAGACTATTTAACTTATTAAACAATAGCTATTTAATCCTCTGATTTAAATTAATTTTCCCTGTGTAATTTATATATAATCTCAGTGTGATCTCACCACAGCCACCTCAGGAAAGACTTTAACCTTCCTCTGCTATGATATGATCTTGTGTGTGGGCAGCTGAAAGTCACACTTGCTGCACTTCTACCAAATTGCTTTGCTAACGCATATCCAATTTGCTGGAGACTGCAAAGGCCAAACAAGAACAAATCAGAGCTGAGAGGTACAGCAAGCTGCGTGATTGTGGCACAAAGCCTTGGAGACACCAGGCAGACCATTGGGACCCTGACAGAACACACATGAAAGGCACTATGAGTGATAGCTGTACAAACACATAATGCTTCCACCACAAAAACCTACAGGTAGATCCACGTGCCAGAATGCCTGCACCAAGGCTGTGAAATATCTGGAAATGTGCCCTCCTAATCCACAGGGTAAGTTATTTAGCTTTTGGTAAACAGAAGGCACAGCCAGGGTATAGGTAATTGTTTCCCGTCCCCCCTCCCAGCACATGATCCAAGATCCCTGCCCCACACCCTGAGACAGTCGGACTGCCTACCTTCAATACGCAAGCTTCAAATACTTGTGGGAGTCATTGCAAAGATTTTATATTTGCAGTGATCTCCCCATTTAATGTTTCTTATCACTTCAACAGGAGTCACCACTACTAGCCTTTCAACTCTCCGCTTTGCACTTCCACCAGAAGAAGAACACCATTTGTCCTATGAACTGCAGCCTGGTCCCATTCTACCTAGCGCTTAGTTGTGCTGGTCTGTGTTCAAGGGGCACACAGCTGAGCCTGGGAAAAACAAATTCCCTCCAAGAGCTCAATCTGAGCAGCCCCCCAGTCACACGGGAACAAGCTTGCTGGTTATGGAAAGTGAGGATTGTCTCCCCCCATGGCCACTACACAGACTGTGCACTTAAAGAATCTATAGCTGCATTTAATCTAATTTAGATCCCAGCTCAGTGATCAGCCACCTGGGAAGTATCATTTATTCATTACTGGAGGGATTGGCTAGATAAACATCCGCTCTGCTCTGCTGTGCAAAGTATGAGAACAACTCAGCAAGAGAGGCCTGTAATGCATAGGTAATTGTCTGACTTTTGAAACCTCCATTTAAAGTACCAACTGCCCCTGGCTGCACAATTACCTTCTTCTTAGTTGCCAGGCGGGTGAGCAGCCCTGTCTTCTCCCAGTGTGCATACATCTGCTTCTCATATTCGTAGGAGGGGAAGAAGCACACCACACCCCCTGGGACCACATTGCACAGGTTGCAAAGGATTCGACCCATCTCATCCATCTGCAAGAGGGACAAGAGCATATTGCAGCTGACAGGAGCTCCAGCTAACGCCACTCCAATTCTGTGCTCAAACCCAGGATCACACCTCCCCTATGACATGCCTTGGGAGAAGGAAAAATGTGGGAAATATGCCAGGTCTAAGTGAGCTCTCTAGGGGAGCTGGGAATCACCAAAAAGCTCTTCACTGCTTGGCCTCTCCTCCTAATCCAGGGTTTCTGTTACTGCTGCGGAGCACTGGTCATTCAGGAAAGGAGGGTTTATGTCTGTTGTCGCAGTGGATAGGACCTGTCACACTAGAACAGATGTAGAGAGCTAGCTAGCACATCTGATGGAGATTCAGCAGGGGCTGAGCAGATCTCATGTCCAGCCTTGGGTGCTTACTGGCCCACCAAAGGAAGAAGGAAAAAGTGCAGAAATATCTGCTGCCGCCCCTATGGTTTGGGCTGCACTCTGCAGGACTGTAGCTGTCACGCTCCACTGTCAGAGCCCTTCAAATGGTGAAGCACAGTCAGAAATCTCCTTCTGATGTCCAGCACACAAATGCAGGATGTCAGTACAGCCAAACAGGAGTTGCTAGTCCTCGTCTCCAATAGCTACCTCTAAGCAGGCAGCTCAAAACTCCTTTTGCTGCTCCTCTTTCCCAATTACTTGGCAACACACCTGCCCCAAATCCCATGGATTTCCCCTGCCATGGCTTTTGATCAGCCCACCTTTCAAACAGAGACCACACTATCCTATGAAACATAAGCAAGTGAAACAAAGAAGAGATACCAAGGAAGGGAACAAAGGAAAGACTGACCATCTGGGGCAGGTCTCTTGTCTGGTAGGTGAACTCCAGCTGCTGGTTGGAAGGACCACTACAGAGGATTAGGGGTAAAATGTTTTCTGGAGGAATCACATGTCCTGGAGACAAACAAGTAGTGAGAGTCAATATCGTTGCTGTGTGCACAAACCCCACTAGCTGAACAGCTTTACCTGTGTGCAGCGAGGCACACATTTGCCTAAGTCACTAAGCTGCTCTGACTTCCATGCCCTGAGCCCCGGGGAAGAAGGCACAGCACACTGCCTGCTGGTACTAGGGAAGCTCAGAGTGGAAGGGACCTAGCACCCCTTTGCTGCCATGAAGATGCCATATTGCTTACAGTGCTGACAAAACAGCACCAAAGGCAAACTGCAACACTCGGGTCCTGCAGAGACGGATTATGACCCCTGCCTGCCACCCCGGCAAACTCACCACAAGAGAACTCCACAACACGTGCAGGGTCCACACCAGCACAAGACAGCAGCTGCTCTCGGAAATCAGCCACCTATGTACGACAAGCCAGAGAGAGGTAAAGCACCAGTGTTCCAAAAGACACTACCTCAGCAACACTGGTACTGCTCCTCGAGCACCCGTGTCAAGGGAGAGCTGGTCAGCTCCGTCCGGTGGGTTGCTGGCGCAGGGGAGACGTGATGAGAAAATCCCTCATCCCTCCGTGATGAGAAAATCATGGGAACGCTGAGCACACCAGCCAGGGCTGGGAGGCGTGTTGCAGCCCAAGGCACACAGGAGAAGGGGCCTGCATACATCCGGCAAGGTTAGCCACGGCCTGAAGCCGTCGCCGAGCGGAGAGCTCATCTACCTCGGCGGCCCCGGTGCCGGCACGACCGCCGGGCCCTGAGCGCTGCGCCCCGCGCC